TCTATTTTTAAGATCCTATTTATACCACGAGTGAAAGGAACTTTGAAAAGTCCATCACGCACGCTGGCACCGCAACCCTGCACCGTCGAGAGAGGCGGGGTGGTGGTGTGGTGGGGAAGGATGTAGGACAGACTTGTAGACATAAAGAGGAGATAAAGAGAGGACAAAATGACTTGGGAGGGATGTGGGTTGCAGAGTCCCAGAAACAGGGAACGGAGAACAGTGCCGGCACCGGGGAAGTGGAGCATCAATTAAGGGCAGCATGCCCTGGACGGCACTGTAACGTTCCCACAATGCATTTCCATCACATCTCTCTTCCAGTTCCATCCTCATGCACTCACACACACTTCTCCTTTAAAAAGGTCTTCTGCAGTCACATCCAACCTGAAATCCAGCGCTGATCTAGCCAGGCTAATGTAGGGCTTTAGCATGCCCTTTGCTAGCCAGCAACGTCTAGCTAGCTCAATGCAGACGAGATGAACGTCCTTCCAACAGAAGGTTCTCTGGGTCAATTTCAAGTCGAGAAATGATGGCATCGTTGTTGTAGGGGTTATGTCACAATAAGAAATTTGGTTTTACCATAAATAAATAATAATACTGACCGTTTTCAAGTGATATAATGATGATGCACATTTTTTAAGCTCACCTGTATCTGATAGTTAATTGACAGGAATGTGGGTAACGAGAGAGGGGAAAGACATGCGGCAAAGGTTGCCAGCCTGGGAATCGAACCTGCGACAGCCACGTTGAGGACTGAGACTGCCATATGTGGGTAGTGCTAAACTCCTGCACAACCACAGCACAGCCCCTAGGAGACATTTTAAATCGATTCAGAATTCCCAGGACATAGATTTGCGATTATTTATAGAACAGAAATTTTTTTCTGCACCTCTAATTTGTTTTTGCCACTTTTGACTGAATTGCATTTTGGTTCATTTGGCCTTGCATACCTTACTTATAAATGCTGGGTGGATCAATTAGTTTGAATTGCTGGTGTGACATGTTTACATTTTAACACCCTCATCCACCATGACGCATTGTGCTTAATGATCAGATTCACTACTATTAGCAACAAATGGATTAATAATGTGCTTAAAAAAAACCTGTTTATGTGTATTTTTACTTTCCCACCAACTATATCAAGACTCCCCTGAATAAACTATTTTCTTTGCACTTTCTCAATTCACAGTGACCTCTCCTGCTGAGATGTGCAGCCCACCTGCAGATCACACACACACGCAACAAAGAACACACTCCTGTTCCTCTTGAATAATTGATCGGTGAGGAACAGGGGCCCACACTGCATACACACCGGGGGGGTAATCAGACACCAGGGAGAGACTCGAACACATCACTCTGCACACAGCTGCGGCTCTAATTGAGCCCCTCTGAGGATGATAAACCTGAAGTGGTGAGGCGTTCAGGTGCACAGGCAGAGAGTCGGACCAGAGGATGCAAGGATGACAGCGTCAGGTGTCTGACATCACTTCCTGGGGTCAAAACCCGCTGAAGCGGAAAACACACCGCAGCTTCTCTCCTGCAGGAAGTGCCCTGCGGTCGTCCATTGGCCGATCAGAAAACCAGCTGACCCGCCTCAGGTAACAACAATTATCTGATTGGTTCCAGGACAGAAAGCCGTGACTGTTTGGGATTCAGTCACTGCAGCCACCTCTCTCCCACCACACACACACACGTCCTGCTTCCCCCTTCCTGCTGACGCATCAGTTTCAAACATCCATCATCAGCACCGGCAAACAGAACCGACTCGGATCACTGCCGCTGTGCCTCACGCAGAGGGAGACTCACGCAGGTGTCTGCGTGAGTCACACCTGCTCCAAGTTTCAGCTGCGCTGCAGCAAAAAGGAAAAGAAGAGAAGATTTTAAAAAACAATTAACCCTGCTTCTTGAACGTCCCAAATTCTGAATTCGTTCGTTAAACCCAACCTACACCCATCTCCAAACAAGATAACTCCTCTAAACTGGAAGTGGATGCAGATAATTGGTTTAAAGGGAAATTTTCACCTGACTGAAAAGGAAAGCAAACATGTCCGACCTCAGAGTTTCCTCTCCTAAAGCCTCTAACTCCCACAGGAAAATGCTTACGACCCTGACAGTGATACTGCTGCAGCTCAGGCTGTAATTCGTGATGTCTGAGTCTTGCTGTCATCAACAAGAAAATCCCCCTCACACACACATACACACACACACCTCCAACCACCACCACCGCTGCTGCTGCCTAAGCTTACTTAAAGTCTTCACAAGTCGCTTTATAAACAGAACCAACACAAGCGCTGGGATAATGGAGTAGCACTAGAACAGAAACACCAGTGCAATGAAGCTTGAGGGCAAACCAAACAAAGATGTGTGTGTGGTCACATAAACAGCAGGAGATTTAAGATGGCTAGTAAATTCACCACAGTTTAACAGTCGTCATCAAAGATGATGTGTGCTGTTTGCTTCCTTAAAGTGTATAACCGTTTTTTTTTGTGTGTGTGTGTTTATGATAAGAGATGCACTGGAAAATAGGGAAGCGCTGGCTGCAGTTTTCTGGCCGTAAAGCCTGACCTGCCGATTGCGATCTTGTTCAATCACAATTTACTTATTTTTATGAAAAGCCACTAAATATAGGGTCAAAGTTCAAAGTTGGTAAGTTGACAGCAGGTTGGTGACTCTTGTTAACCGCACATGTGCAGGCAGGTCTGTCAGTTCCCTCTCACAGCAGAGCAAAAAGAGCCAGTGTGTGATTTTCAGACTTTTGCGGAGGTGGATACGTTTGGTTTCAGCTCATCACCAATCTCCAAAATGAAGGAAACAGTGGCTGGAGACTCCAGTCGTAGTAACACGAGCTGCGCTGACCAGGTTTATTACTCCAATTGAGTGCTAAAAAGCACAACTGTCTCTCGATAGTATCATCCCTTGGAGAACAAGATGGATTATTTACAGTTGGGACAGCACATTGAAAAGAATGCTGTTTTTATTTTGGACTCTTGCCATAGTGTTTTCTCTGTATCCACCTGCATGCACAAGTGAACAGGCGGCTAACGTCCTTCCATTCAAAGAGCTGGGTCGGCTGGAAAATACGCACATGCTGAGGGAAGGGTCTGAAATGAAAACACCGGAGGCTACCAGCACATCATATGTCTTGACGGGTCACCAGGATTTAGTCGTCCAGGCTAAAACTAGGTTAACAGCTGAAGCATTGGCCTCAAAGTGCCTGGATGTACGCCTCTGAATTTATGTAATTTGGCACCAAAATGGACATTGTTCTTGTATCTCTAAAAGAACACTGGTCATTGTTCGCCTGTACTGGCATTTATATGATGGCTTATTTTCAGAAAATACTGCACCAACGTATACGTCAAGTAATTGATCAGCTTGAACTGAAACCTCTGAAAGCGCCAGCATAACTCAGCCTTAAAGAGTAATCCTCTGTGCATGACGTCACGTTCACGCCACCATGTAACATCGTGCAGTGAGACTGATGTGAGCGCATACATCTTTGTGAGCAAAGAATAACGTGTTGTGTGCATTTCCGTCGCTCATTTGATGTTCTGGCAGGTGTGCTTCGTTCTGTCTGTGCAACTTGACAAAGATTGCAGAAATAAGTGACACGACCAGCCAATCACAGAGAGGACTTTCCATCCAATCGAAATATTCTCTGCATTCCTAAACAAACTGTTCCTTGCAGCCGTACCGTTGGTCTTGCGGGGGGAGACCCAGCGCAATCAGGTGGGTGATTATCATATCAGATTCCTGCCAAACAGAACATTTTGAATGTTGGCCAAAAAGCTACAGTTTGTGTCTCATCTGATGAGATGAGACACAAATTCACCGTCTTCCAAGCATCTGGATGTCTTCCCCCTCTCCCTATATCCAGTTTATTCATTGTTCAATACAGGAAACTAGAGTCTAAAAATATATCTTTAAACTCCAAAAGCTTCACAGAGAAACCGAATTTACACTAAGAAAAAATTAAAAAACAGGAAACTCATTATTATGACTTCTAAAGACTACCAGCGGCACTTTATTTATAGGTATCAGAATAAAGGGGGCTGTACGAAAATCCAATTTTCCTTTAGATATACCTTAAAAACTATAACAATTGCTCTCCATTACACAGCCTTACACCACTTTGCGTTGGTCTGCCACGTAAAATGCTAATAAACTACATCGACATTTGTAGTTGTAATGTAACAAAACACCTTACCTCATAAAATGAAGAGTTTGTTGGGGTTTTTTGTTTTGTTTTAGGAATACACCTTTTGCAGATTTCTGGTAGATTGCTGATCTTCAATCTTTAAAGAGCCCAACTTGCTGATTTTTTATTATTATTTTTTTTTTGTCTGAAAAGTTTTGAAGGTTAGTGACAAATTTGTAAAGTTGGCAGCAATGGGGTGACTATTGGCAGAGCCAGAGGACAGCGGCTGATTTTCAGATGGATCAGGTTTGGCACATCACCAATTGATTTATCAGTGGATCCCTGGTTTCTTGCTGTTGTTGTTGTGTGTGTTTTTTTCAATAAAGAAGTAGTTGAAGCTTTGTGCATTATATCAGGCTGCCAGCTTAGACTAAAATAGAGTGATTTGCAACCAGTGGGAAAGCCGTGCTCTTGCCAAAGGGGAATTAGTGAATCGGCTCAGCCTGATAACTGAATGGTCGCAATGATTAACTCCATGTAATGAACAACACGCCAGCCTGGGAGCATCAAGCTGCCCTACCAGCAACGATGCTGTGATGTCATTGTTGAAATGTTGTGAAGAATCATTAAACGACGCTTCCAGCCACAGACTGCAGTGCGTGCATTTTCACGCAGGAGAGTCAACGAGCGCCCTCCCCATCCACGCCACGGCTGTTTGACAGCGAGGAATAAAGTGTGAAGAGTCGCTTTTATTCAGACGTAGTAACAAAGTGTCACTGTGGAGTCCGCGGGAGACGCGCGCAGACTCCGGCTGAGGATGCCTCGGGAATATAAAGCAGACTCTCAGGGGCGGTCTACTCACGTTCCGAGGACTTCTTTAAAGTCGAAGCTCTTCTTGATGTCATCGACCTGTTTCTTCCACGTCTCGCCGCCGCCGGTGTCTCCGTTCTCCCGGGCCATGACGCTGCTTCCGCCGGCCGCCAAGCCGCGAGTCTGGCCGCGAGACCGGGCTGCGCGCGGCAAGGATGCGGGGGGAAAAAAAAGAAGAAGAAGAAATTCCTCTAAAAGACAAACAAAACTATAAGATGGAGCAGTGGGAGAAACTGTTCTAAAAGAAGAAGTTGAGCGGGAGAGGTTTGTGAGAGTTGTGGTGGTGTTCGGTCCGCTGCAGCAGGACCATGTGAGTCCAACTGCAGGTTACCTTATCTCTCCGCACCTCTCTCTCTCTCTCTCTCTTTCCTCTCTCTCTGTGTGTCACCGCGCGGACAACAAGCTGTCACGCTCACAATAAGGAATAAGCACTTCCGAAAGCCCTTTCAAAATAAAAGGTTGCTTTTTTTTCAAGCCACAGCTAAAACTGTATCATATTGACAAAGTGAACAACATTTTTCACTTTCAGAAACGATTGTCTTTTGCTGCTGAAATGTTGAATAAATAGACAAGGATATAATTGTTTATAATCTGTTAAGTAGGTTATTTAGCCATCAGATTGGTACAAAGTGCTGTTATACCCATTCGCCTGTCAAGTCTTTCAGGAACCTCTGTCCATTCATGAAGCTTCAGATCACCTGCATCAGAGGCAGCTTTGTCATCTATTGCTGTTGTAAATCTTAATTTCAATAATACTTGCTGAATAAAGTATCAATAGCCAAATTAAACTCAAATATGATATCCTGTTTCTAGGAAGAGTGACTTTTGTCGTATTGCGTATCGTCAACCTTCCTAAAATAATAACCCAAAGGCAAAAAATAAATTAATTGATTAATTAAAAAAACACCACCTCTTTTTTGCCTAAAGATTAATTAGACCAAAAGAAAGGGGAAAAAATCACTTTGGGCAAAAAGATAACTTTGGTCATTATGTTATGAAGGTGATATCTTATTTTGAAGGCATCTCGACGTTTCCGACATGAAGCAGCTTCTGTGTGTAACTTAATGGAAATTGCAACGCCACCTTCAATTGTCTGAAAGCAGTTAATTGATGTCAGTGTGACAGCTTGATGAGCTCCCTGACCCCACAGCAAAAACTTTCTGGGATTTTTACCATCTCCACTTGCATTCTACTGTGGCGTCATTACAGCGCTCCATGCTGTTAAGACAGTAATACAAAAACAAAGAGAGAGGGGGGAAAAAAAGCTGTCCATGCATCCTGCTTTGACAGCACGTGTGTGTGGCCTGCAAGCTGAAGCTGCAAATTCGCAATGCACCATTTTGCTGACAACCGTCATGCATCCGTCATGGTTTCTGCAATCCCCCAAAGGCGTCTGCGTTACCCTCACAGCCCACCCCATGAGATCCGCAGGGACCCCAGCTGCAGCAGCTGCACGTTCACCTGGGTTACTAAAGACAGGAGTTTGTGGAGAGGCTCTGCGACAACTGCAAGCTGATGAAGGGCGGCTGGCGAGTGAGCTGAGGTCGTGTCATGGTTAAAGCTTGCACTGCATCCAGCTTCTGGCCTCATATCTTTGTGTGTGTGTGTGTGTGTGTGTGTGTGTGTGTGTGTGTGTGTGTGTGTGTGTGTGTAATCCTGGATGAAAAACACAACAGCAGAAGAAGGGAGTGAAGGGGGAGGCAATGTGTTGCAACTCCTCATGAGTATTCCGGCTGCAAACTACTGCAGCTCTTCCTCAGCGGCAGCAGAAGCCACGGAAAACTCCCCTCTCTCTCTCTCCCTCTCTCTCTTTCTCTCTCTCTCTCAACCCCCACTCACCCATTTCTTCCTCCTGCTCATCCTAATCCTTTACCATGAGTCAGCAGCTCTCATTCCCTCCCTCCCCCGATGAAAGATGATCACCCAGCTGCAGAGGGAAGCGGAGGAGAGGAGGGATGCTGGAATGGGTAGATCCAGGCTGAAGGTCAACAGAGAGCAGGGGTTAAGCAGAGGACGTATTCCTGGCAGCTTCGGATAAACACAAACAAGTGTCCACCGGGAGGCAGTGATGAAGCTTTACTCAACCAGTTCTCAACCAGTTTGCTAATAAGCAGGAGAATGAAGGTGTTTTCACACCTGACGGTCCAGTAGATTTGGTTAAATTTGAGATCAAAATCGCAACGTTTTGCCACATTTTCAGCCGGTTCCCTTTCACACAGCACTGTGTCAAAACGATCCGAACCCTTTGAAAAAGCTTCACCCCTCCCCTGTGGCGGCGCTGCACCGAGAAGCACTGAAGGAAACCACAGGAAAACATCTGAAGAAGACACCGAGTGCAACTTCCTTCTTCAAGAAATGTAAACAGACATGGAGGAGAGCGAGGCTGCAGCGGCAACTGTGCCACAAAAAGACTCATTTATCTCATTTAGTGCTAGAGCAGCTTTTGATTCACTTGTATTTACCCAGAATGCCTTGCGCTACAGTCCGCTTCCTGCTTTTGGGTCGGTCTGCGGTTCGCTTAGCATTCACATATTCGAACTGCAACATAGTTCACGTCAACTGAACTGAGGCTGAGGTTCATAAGTGGACCAGAGTTGGACTGTGCATTCACGCCTCCCCAAATATTTATTGGTTTTAGCAATAACCCTAAAAAACATGAACATCTCTCTGAAACAAACTTTTTGGGTATACTCTAATTTACTGAGATGCGCACTTCCCCAAGATGATGGGCATTTTGAACTCCATCTTTCAAATCTTTGCATTATTCTTTCCACCATCTGCTTTTACCGTGGTGAATACACCAGCTTACAATGTTTAAATAGAACACTTTATTAATGCATTTCGGACCAGTTCTCGTGGCATAGGATCTTCTAAGTTGCATCCGCCTCACTCTGGCAAGGATCTGACCTTTAAGTAAACGGAATGAGAACACGATGTGCTCAGGATTTCCCCCCAAAAATGTTGTGTGCGCCTGAGTCAAACCTGACCGCTTCTCAGATTACTGTGGACCACTTTAGCTGGCAAATGTCCTCTTTTTTTTTTTCCTATAATGAGCATTGACAAGAGTTGTGTCTCGTACACTGCTGCGTGCCTACGGCAGCTCCCCCGAAGTACTGCGGCTCTCAACTCCCTCACTTCCTCAGTCCCCAAATGATTGCTCCATAAATCCAGTAAAGGCGGGGAGCCGGGGTGGGGTGGCGGGGGCCGTGTCCCACCCACATACCCAGCTCATTTAGCTCCCAGCGTAATGAGAAGTGTTACGTAAAAAAGCAAAATCAATTTCTTATTCGCTTGTTTAGTGCGCCCGCTGGACCCACAGACGGTCAGTATGACAGGAAGTTTAATGGGAGGGGGTGATGTATGTGTTTTTTTTAATCTTCCTTGTGGGAGCTTGTGTCCACAGCATTGTATGATGGGACGAATCGGGATACGGGTCTTGACTGAGAGGGCCCCTGAGGCGGCTGTGAGCAATGAGGGTGTCAAATTGGCTCTGCGGGAACTAGAGATGGAAGAGCAGAGATAAATTATTATGACTTACAGACGACTAAGTGATTGAGAGGTTTGAATGGGAAACAGGCGAACATGCGGCTGGTTCATTTCAAATTGAAGAACATCACTGCAGATAGCCAACAGAGTAATGCAATTTTTGGTCAGGAGTAAATTGAGACATTTAGCTTGCTGCTCCTGACAGTTGAAGTGACAGAAGACTGCAGCAGAAGGAGGTAATGGCTTCAAAGTGTCTAAATCAGCTCAACATGAAGACACTCAAAACGTAGCGCCATTATACGAGTTAGCTTGCTTTGTTTTTCACAAGGAGGTAAAAAGGAAGAGGCAGCAGTCAAAATAGCTCCTAATAATTTCAGTCACTTTTAAAGAGCTGAGATGTGATCAGTTGTTATGGTTCTTTTTCGGCAGATTGGGGCACACTTCCACGAATCCACATATAACCGAGCTAATTTAGCATTTAGCACTTCTGCTAACTCAGGAAACGTTTAGCACACTTAGCTAACCCCTAAATTGTTGCCATCATGTAGTTTAAAAAAAAGGACAGAGAGGCAGGAACACTACTGCTAATAGCTGAGCTAATTTAGCACATACCTGCCAAAGTATGTGCTAAATACAGTGCTACTATCAGTCAGTTGGAAAGTAATGCAAGTGGAGAGATGTGGGGGGATGATAATACGGGAGCACAGCGGGAAAGGGGAGTAAAAAACAGGAGCTTCCGGGTCAAAACAGGACACTTAACAGCTAGGAACATGTTAGCATTCAGCTCTTTCTGCTAACTCTGAAAACATTAGCGTACTTAGCTTTCCCTAAATTACTGTATCATTTTACAAACGGGTCAGATGTTTTCTTTTTTTAAAAGAAAGGCATATCATTTTTTAAATTGTTTGGACATGTTCTTTGGATGGATATGTCTAAAATGCTAGCATGAACACAAATAATTAGTAATAATAAAAGAAAACCTTCTGGTCAAAGTCAAATGTATATCTCAGCTATGAAGTACATACATAATGATAAAAAGATTTTTAAGACAACATTAATTGTTATTGTTTATGCCCATTAAAATCAATTTCTTTCCCAGAGATAAAAATTGAATCAATCAAAAATGCGAAGAAGTCAATATTTATTGGGCTGTTCTACTTTTTTCCATATTAACTGTTCATAACTTCTACATGCACCTATTTCAATGCATAAAAGCAGGCAAGTGAGACCCTCCACAGTTACAGAGGACGGGAAAAGCCTGACAGAACAATATGACCTCCAGGAGTTGCTGGCATGATTTGTTAACTTAAGTTCTGTTTCCCAGCCGTGACTCGGTCCAGAAGACGTGGTACAGAACAGCGTGAGGACAAGAAAACAGTATAAAAATAAATGACGACAGGGGAAACGAGTCTCCTCACACACATCATACAAAAAGCTGACATCACTGGGGAGGATTCTCCTCTTCGGATTCCTCCTGCTGGCTCTTCGTCTGAACAAAGTAGAAAGCAGAAGATTTGAATGAAACTTTTCTGGACGCCAGAAAATGTACAGAGCAGGCGTTTAAGAAACAACCCGACAAGCTTCACACATTTAGAAAAAAAAGCTGCGTCTAATTGGTCTTTTCTATGCATGTTTTGTTTTTCACAATGGGAAAAAAAAATTTAAAGAAAAAAATATTATATATAATATATATATATATATATATATATATATATATATATATATATATATATATACATATATATATATATATATTGTTCTAAACAATTTTAAAATCACTAAAAAGGTGAGATATAATCAGTTGCTATGGTTCTTTTTAGGCAGTGGTGGGCGTACTTATGCTAATATGCTAATAATGGAGCTAATTTTTTTGTCTAACACTTTTGCTAATTTTGAAAACTTTGAGTGCATTTACCTTTTCCTAAATTCATTTTTTCAAATAAATTCCAAAAACAACATTTTCTTGGCCGTTTTGAATTCCTCGTTTATATTTCTGCTCTTATTTTGAAGTGGGTGAAGACTGTTTGTGCAACAGTCCCATTTCCTCTCCTCACATTTTTTATATATTTTTTTCTCCCCTATAACTTTATTTCTTCAACAAGCGTACAGGAACAAAATGAAACACAGAAAACAAGATATAAACATAAATACAAAATTGAAGAACGTTACGGAACATGTAAATTAGAATATCAAAATTAAATTGGTGCTTGAGAGTTGTAGTCTTTCAGAGTTTCAGAGTTGAGGTATTCAAGTTAGCAGGTTACTGGATTAGCGGTTTAGCACTTTAGCATTAGCATCCGCCTAATACTGTACTGGTGTAAAAGCAACCTTTCAGCTTGTTTGGAAACTGCTTTTAAATTCTTATTGTATCTCTGTCGCGTTTTCTAAACACCAGCACCCACCAGTTTCAGAAAGTCAATGAGCTTGTAGGTGTCCTCTCCGGTGGACAGGTCCACAAAGTCCCGCGGTATCCTGTAGCTCAGGCATGGACTGGGCTGCACCGTCACCTCGCTCGTGGTGAAGCGGAACGCCGGGCCGTCCTGCAACACAAACCGGGAGACGAGCTCAGCCGTCACGGAGGGATTCCGGGTCGGGGCGCGGAAGCCGTGCGCTTCGGGTGAAAGACTGACCTGCTGCTGAGGGTCGACCACTTCTCCAGACATCAGCTCGTCCCAGCTGAACAGCAGCGAGTCGGTCACCTCTCCGAATGGGTTCAGGTCGATGAGCCACACCCTGCCCTGCAAAAACAAGACAACCTGCGTTTACGCTTCCTGTTGAGCTTCAGTCACATCACAACCACTACTGGTGTTTTATATGCAAAAAGCATTCAAGCCAAGTTTCAAACTGTGAATCAGGATGTAAACAACACATGGTTGTTTTGAAAATTGACATCTGAAAATGACCATGATAAACCATAACATTGTTGTTTTGGTTCTCAAATTTCAATAAACTTTGATTTTGTACAAGACATTCGAACGCTGGACCTGGAAGACATTTCATCTATCCAAATTAAACAAAGAAAATGAAAAACTATTGAAATATGAGGTATGCGTCTCCAAACCCTTCCACTGCAGCTTTCTGGCTGAATGTTTTGTGTTTTTGTTTTCCATACATATAGAACTTAAGGGGGAAAACAGAATGCTGTATATTTTTGTTTGTGTTCTGTGTTGTTAAACCTAAAAACAGCATTAAAAGTTACAGTTTTTCATTCAACCATCAAACTTTTTTTTTTCCATAGCAGGCAGTCTTTGTGCCCCTGAACGAACTTTATTTAGCAGCATCGAGGGCAAAGCCTGCAGTGCTGCTTTCCGTTAATCTTAACACAGAAAACCTTTGCAAAACTCGAAAGTGTGTGTTTGTATCTTGACAAAATATGGAAGGGGCCCAAGAGGCCCTCTGAAGTAGAGAAACGAGTTACCTGGCTGTCTCTGTACACGTCAAACACAACTGGAAATTAGAAGAAAGGGGAAAAAAAGACATTATTTCACCGTTTTCAACAAGGGAACTGTTTGAGATGAAATATTAAAAATGTCAACACAGGAAAGAACCCAGACTCATTAATCTCTCCTAGCCATGTAATTAGCTCATTTGTATCCCAGTGAATAATTGATGACTCACAGTCTTCGTCCAGGAAGCGGTACTGAACGTGCTGGCTGAAGAAGTCCTGGATGGCCTGGGAGATGTGCTGCTCCTGCTTCAGGATGTGCTGGTAGTACTGTGTGTAGTCCCTCTGGGAGACGGCTGCCGGACGGCGCAGACAGACACACGCCAGTGAGCGCAGCTCAAATTGGATTTTATAATTAGCCCGCCGAGCACAGGGCAAGGCTCAAACTCGGCCCGTGCCCCAGTTTTCGCACGGACCGGAATGCTGCTTCAGCAGGAGACGCTTTCTACTTATGCTTCTGATTTGAACTCAGATTTGGGGGGGTTTTCCCCTCACAGAGCGCCAAACACGTCTGCCGCATGCTGCAGTTGTGAGCGTGAGGGTTCATTTCTTACCGATCAGTTTGTTTTCTTTGACAAAGCAGCGAAACTCTCCACCAGGAATTAGCTCCGCCCACTTCCTCAACACCAGCTGAGGACACAAGGACACCAACCGTTATCATCTCAACCAGGGATGCAACTAACGATTATTTTTAGTGATCGATTATTCTGACGATTAATCGGAGAAAACAACATTTGTACATTCTGCAGATTTTTCCCATTGTCACTTAAGCCTAATGAATATGAATATATTGCACATAAACATCATTTGTAGCATATGAAGAGCTCAGTCCTTTCTGCTTGACTTATCAATACAGTCTAAAGTTAGTCTGTTAATTTTTTTATTTTGATAACTGATTAATAATTGGACAGCAAAAGGTGCTTATTTGGAGACTTTTTCTTTTTTTTAGAATCATGTCAACTATAACTATAGAAATTCTGGGTAGAACATATTTACATTTAAATCTTAAATAAAGAAATTTGCATATTTTTTTGTGCTGCTCTGTATGTGGTGTTCTCTCAGCAAATACATTTTCTTTTGAGCCTGTGTACTCCAATTAGCAATTAATTGGTAAATTAGCTGACAATTGTTGTATTTATTGATGTTTTTGGGCCGATTAATTGTTTCAGCCTTCATTCAAAAATACTAGCTAATCAGAATTAAATATGACGGCGCTGTTGACATTTATGGTTCTTCGTAAATGTATACCAACTTGTCTCTATGGTGCATTTAATCCAGCTTCTAGCGTCTTGTTCTTGCCACATTCAAGTTCCTCTGAAATATTCAATTTTTGTTACTGAATATACTGAAGCTGCAATATCAAAACATATTTCCAAATGAGGACTAAAGTACCTCATAATTGATGACAGGATCTGGAGAGTCCTGGTCACTGCACTGGAGGAACCTGAAAAGCAAATCACACCAAAGGTAGTTAGCGGCTTAGCTAGCAGCGGTCTAAATGTGTGATTTCTTATGAAAAGGAAAAATATATCAAATTGGTATAACTACCACTAACAGCCGAATTGGCAGTTCTGGAAAAAAATGGCGAGCCCACTGCACTGAACCCCGCTGATAACCTCCTGGTTATTCCACCAAATATCCATTTCTGAACTCTTCCTGAGTTAAAACTGTAGTTTTATTGCTTTTAAATGAATACTAATGTGTTTTCTTTGCATTAGTTGAGGTCTGAAAGCACTGTATCTTCTTTGTTATTTCAACCATTTCTCATATTCTGCAAATAAATCCTAAAATTTTTGCTCGGAATGTGGGAGACGTGTTGTCAGTAGATCAAAGGATAAGAGAAAAATGTACATTTTACTCAAACACATATAAAGAGTCAAATCAGAGAAATTGATCATCGTAAGTGGTCTCTCTTTTTTTTTCTTGTATCTATGAAAGATCATGTGGGAAGATGGAGACAAAACCACTGCAAAAAAACCACACAAAACAACAAAAAAAAAACAATTAAAGCGGAAACACAAAATTATAAAGGGGTTTATAGCAGATTAATTTGTGATATAGTTTAGAAAATGTTTACTTACAAGGGCAAAGATTTATATGACAATAAAAACTCATTCTGTAATGCTTGTCCAATAGGAAGAACAACAGGACGCGGTCTTACGGCTGCGTGAGGTCGTGCGTGATGAAGTCAGAGCTTTTGAAGAGCAGGAAGACGTCGCTGAGGCTGCGGCACTCCAGCGAGCTGTTCAGAGCGATCCAGTTGGCGTCCTGTCAGACGCCGCAGATGACAGAGGCTTTACCGGAAGCTACACCACATTAGCAAACTCAGTCGTCTGTGTGTGTTTTACCCGCGGAGCGCTCCAGTTGAGTTTGGGGAAGACACACCCACCCAGGGCGTTGATGGCCTCCAGCACCGTAGAAGCGAATTCTGGGAATTCGGGAGCCTTGGAAAAGGCATCACAATCACATCGTCATGAACAATTTACACTCAATAGGCATGTTAATAGGTACACAATGCTACACTTTTCACTAGTGGCATTTCAACAAAAGTTCAACTTAAAAACATTTCTGTGAAATAAATCCAGAAATTCTTCCATGTTCCTTTATCCGAATGAGTCGAACATTGCAACAAGAAAACGCGACCACTGAACTACTTACAGTGGCTATCGCTGTCGTCTCATCATCCGACCACTAGAGGGGAGTAGAGAAGCAACGGAATTATGAAAGTGAGAATTGGCGGGAAAACAAATCGGACTTTAATGCCTGTGGAAGAGAAATTCAAACATGTGGTGGCGGCATGTTGGTGTGTTTGTGTATAACAGTCATTTATGCAGTTCACCAAATCTAAATGGAAATTTTGACCAACCCAGACAGACACGCAGAGCAGATTCACACTGAAAAACGGGCAAATGGTCAAAATTTAAAGAGCAAAACATAAACATGACATTCTGTTATTTTACTATTTTTTTATACCAAAATAATGTGTTAATTGTGCTAATTTATGTTTCCAAATGCACAGAAAATTTTAGTGCCCTCTGCACTGATTCAGGTAAAACAACAACTCTTCGGTCCACCAGGGGGAGCTGTTGTAAAAGTTCACTTTCTGACAGACATTCTGTTGGGAGATAAACGGAAGTTTCTCCAATCTCAAAGTGAACTTACCTGTACGTCTTCGTCGGCATCTGACTCGCTGTTGTTGGTTTGGATCGGCTGAGAGTTGTGATCACTGGGGAGACAAGAGGAGGAGCGCTAGCGTATAATTCAGTGTTTGAATGAAACTCAGAGCCCTGCACAACCCCGCCCAGATGAACTTTCAGAGCAAACTAACACTATACTGTGATGTATACTGTCCATATACATCACAGTGTCATCTTGTCATCTGTAAATAGTTTAATCCACCAGGATCTCTGTCTGACCTCACCTGTAAACACAGTGGAACAAGTAAGAGACTTGCTGAAGAAGCGCTCTTACAGCACACCTCACCACTGACTCACTATACATTGTTCGTGCATAGATCTACAACCAGATGTAGAGACAAAAAGAAAACTCAAACAATGTTCAGCTTGATGAACTCTAACCGGTCAGAAACTACAAACTGTCAGAAAACAAAGGCCGGTTCTGATAATTTAAATATCTAAAATAAAGCACAACAACCAAAAACGATACATAAAATGAAAATAAAAATCACACCCAACTGAAACTAAATAAAGAAATGAAATTGATTAGATCTCTGTGAATTAAAAAAAAAGGAAATCATTGGACTAATTTTAAATTTATGCGATTCATTTCTTGTTGCAACTTGTTTGTTAAAGAAGAAAAAAATATATTAAAATGGGCTGTTTTCAATCACAGGGAGATTTAAGAATATAGTTTATGCAAGCATATTTTTGGAAACAATTATTTTCCAAATGGGGATCAGAAACAGCATAAGTTAAATGAACTGTTCTGTTTCTGCTTGTAAATTTTGTGTGTGTGTACGTGTGCGTGTGTGGGTGTGTGCGTGTGTGTGTGTGTGTATTTGTGTGTGTGTGTGTGTTCATACCTTCCAGACACTACCAGTGTCCCGTCGTCCAGTAAATAGTCTATTACATTCTGAGGCAGTGGAAGGATCAGACTTGGAAACGAGACAAGGGATGAATCAAAAACAGATCTGAGAGTCTAAGCTCAGCTGGACTTTGACAAATATCTCATAACACAAACAACAGAACAAAGGTTACAGGTGTGTAAACGTGTCTTGTTGCTGACGCTGGACGTGTTTTACAGAAACAAACACAAACCGTTGGCGTTTACCTTTTTATCGTGTGCTTCTTAAATATCGGATACCAAACAGAGAACTGACAGTGGACAACTTGCTCCTTCTTCATACTGTAAGATCCTGAGGAGGAAACGCGTCCGTCGCTAAATGTCCTCCGAATCCTTAGACCGTCTCAAAACTGCCGTGGTCTCCAAAATTCGTTTACTGTCTCAAAAATATCAGAAAATGTTCCCATTCGATTAAATACAACACTTGATATTTATTTAACTCAGGAAACGGTGCTTTGCGTGAAATGCTTTCCTTTTCCGCAGAGGAGCTATTTTGGAGATGCACACAAGAACGTAAAATGAGTGCGTACTCACACATAGATCGTTTATTAGTGTGATGATTTATTTTTAAACTGCATTTTTATTTTACAAAGAAGATCGCATTTGCAGCAAAAATAAAAAGCCCAATCTGATTATTGACGACTTCTTCTAAATACATTACAGGAAAAATTCTTTAAAATATTTTTTTTTTATTACTTTAATTTGTTTGCACATGGTGGTATGTGCACAATTGGCACATACGGCTTGACTGAACAACAGCAACACACCTACAGTGAGACACTGTGATGGCAGCAGCATGCTGTGGTGTCCTGTATGTAGCCAATTTACATTTTTTAAAATAAAAACAAAAACCGATTAAAAATCTGTTGCATATTTTGAAAACAGATATAAAAATGTCATTCTGGGTTGCTGACAAGGTTAGTAGCTTTGATTTAAACAGAAAATGAAGAGTTTAAATAATTATCCTGTCCTTCTTTTGGCTTTATCTGTTTTCTTTACTAATCTAAAAGAGCATCATAGAACCTGCTGATGCATTTATCTACCAAAAAACGTTCAGTAAAATTGAGAACACTTTAAAATGTATGGTTCAAATATGTTTTTGCTATAACTTATAACTTCATATGAATATTTTTAATTTTTTAAAATCAGATAAAATAAGACAACAACAAAAGTTTAAAAAAATTTTAAAAAAAACTTGTCTATGACGTTTTCCTTTTAACAGGAAGTGGTGTCAGAGTGACTCATCGCTACAAATTTACCCTCTTTGCTCTGCTTGTTAAGCACGGTTGGGATTTCACGTGAGTTAAGGTTCGTTTGTTTTAGTTGAAAGGAGAATAGAGCGCTTGAAGACACGCGGCCTACGAAGCTTTGGGCCGCTTTCGCCTCACAGCTTCTGTTCAACGGACAGCAAACCGGTCTGAACCAGAATAATGTTGATTAAACGGGGACAAATTGACATTTTTGTTGTTGTAGCTAACTGGGTAACTCAGGACTGTCTTCAAGCTTTAAAATACAACTTATGGCTTTCAAACGACGTATAAGTAACAGCAGGTTAGATTTGTATTGGCTTTCTGACTGGACGTTCTTGCATTTTGTTTTCTTTTTACAGTGAAAATGAGCAACCCCGAGGACCCTAAAGTGAGAACAACACCACATGTAATCAAAGAAGAGGTTTGTCGAGTTTTCTCATGCTATGCAACAAACAGAAAATGGCTGTAATTACTTCTAACAGTTGTGTATATTAATGCAGTAACAATTTGAATGTGGTTGACATCGCATAATTACTCATTAAGAATGTTGAAACTAGAAAAGCCCTTGCCAGTCATTTTAGAAAGTTTGATTAAATAAGAGGTTTTTTGGGGGGGCTATAGTGTTTGTTAGAGACATTAAAATCACTTAATTTTCAGATAGGTGTATTCTAACAGGGCTGACACAAGATTGACTGGGGCCTTGGGCAGGACTTGATTTGAGGACCCCGTTTTTTGATCAGCTACAGCCCCGTCAGCCAGTTTTACACAAGAATGTGTAGCAAGATGGAGCTGCTTAAAACAACATGAGCAACAATTATTCTGCTGAATAGAATTTTAAAAAAATGTCATCAGTTGAACAGTTTTTGGTATTTCTCTCTGATACAGAGCTACGCGAAAGTCTGGAATATTCCTATGCAGTGCTGAGCATGGAAACAATTTTATTAACTTATCATGTGACAGCATGTTAATGAAACTGATAAATGCAGGTTTTAATTTCAAATAAGACCGACAGTACGTGTAGCCTAGCAGGAAATATACTGGGCTACCGTTATTTTGCATTTGTACGAGATGAAGAAGAGTTTGCAACCAGGAGTATGAGCTTGGCTCATTATTTCTCGGTGGCGCTCGTACGTTTTTGTCCTAAACTGCAAATAAAACCATGCATATCTTGATATATGGGTAGTTAAGAAAGTCTCATTATTAATCCATATAAAGTCCTGCGATTCCTAAAGGAGTTCAGTTCATGAAAAAGTTTTGAAATGATACCGCATTTAACAAATTATCACCTTTTCTCATTCTGCTCTTAAAGGAGTAACACAAGTTTAACAGACTGATATTAGGTGGTTAATGGTGGAGCTACCAGCGGGTAGTGTTTATGTACAACGTTAGGGGGATCTCATAAAATCATAAGTTGTTTTTAGTTTAAAGGAAGAAAACATTGAATGAGTTAAATGAGAACAAACTATTCATTTCACCTGTGGTCTTATCAACTTTGTTTGTGTTGCAGGTTTTGGCAGAAGGGAAATGGGTAAAGCTGGAACAGACCACATACGTGGACCCTGCAGGAAACACTAGGTGGCGCTCAAGCCTTCATATATGCTTTAAAGGGCCATTATCATGTAAAATTGACTTTTTTTCCATCATGCTGTCCATCATGTTATAGTGTTGTTCCCACACCAAAAACATAGCAGGAGTGCTGCCTTGATTTTTTTCAGGCATATTTGAGAAATTCTTCATCTCCATGGCAACCACTCAGCTGTGTAAAACGCCTGGGGGGACCTAGCTCCGCCTTCAAGACAGAGCTCCTCCTGAAAGCTGCAGTTTCCAGGTTTCTGAGCTTTTGCCTCACAGAGCAGCCCTCCCAGTGACTCCCCCACTCGGCTCCTTCAGACTAGCCAGAAGCAATTAGCAAACAGCTGGTGGAACTGCGCCTCAGCTGAGCTTCAGAGTGAAATGCTGGTGAAAACACTGTGAAAGGGTTCGTAGAGGAGCCGAGTTGAGATGACTGATGGCTGCTTGCAGGCGGAGTTTCTCAAAGAGACAGAGACCGAATTCAAGTCATTAAACTACAAAGTCAAATTTCTTTTAAGTTGTATCTCATACTCAGTCTTAGAGCATTTCCATAATAACTGAAGGTAACATGGCTACTTGATTGTGCTATATATAATATGGCACTATGTGGCCGGAAAATAAATATTACTACCCCTTTAAGAAGACTGATGGTGTTTCCTCCCATCTGTGTTTGCAACTCCCAAGAACCTGGGAGACGGCGAAGCGAACGACCAGGAGGAGCAACACAGAGGCAGATGGAGTAGGAATCGTCGCGCTGCTGAAGCGGACGCTCCATAAAGACTGCGTCGTCATGGTGAAGCAGTTCCGTCCTCCAATGGGAGGCAACACCCTGGAGTTTCCAGCAGGTCCCGTTCCAAGAAACCAAATATCCCCACATACACACATTTTAGACCACTAATAAATGTGTCCTGTGAACTGACCTCCCACCCGTCCCATGCTGTAAAGTTTGGAATGTTTCTGGCTGTGCTGCATTCAGGACTGATCGATGAGGGGGAAACGGCAGATGTGGCTGCGCTGCGGGAGCTGAAGGAGGAAACCGGCTACAAAGGAAAAGTGGTGGGAGTGACTCCAGGTATTTCTACACAGTGGTGTGGATCTGATCGCATTCACTCCTCTGTCTTATCTGAAGCCGGTGGGAGTGGGATGACGGTTGCATGTTGTGACTGCAGTGACCTGCCTGGACCCCGGCCTGTCCAACTCCACCACCCAGATTGTCCTGGTCGACATCAATGGAGACGATGTGGAGAACGTCAACCCCACACAGCAGCTGGGTGAGGACGATTAAATTTTGTATAAAGTCCTTGAAAGTGCTTAATATTCTAACTTTTAAGAGTCTAAATTTGGAAAACGTTATTCATAGTTGGACACAGCCCACATTTTTTCCTCAGACTATTTTTCTTGTTTTAGGTTAGTTTGGTTGTTTTTCTGCAGAGAACTCTCTCACATTTCTAGCCATGAATCATGGACTGTCAATAAACATCACATTTACTTATTTTCTATCATCATTATTAGGCTTTCTACTGATACAACTGAAAACAAAATCAAAAGATTTTCCACTAAAATTCTTCATTAGTACAAGTGTAGACATTAAAACGCAAAATTAAACTGACCAGTAGGTGGTGCTAGTGTGAAGCTTAATATTTAGATGTAACCTGAGATTTCTAAAATGAATCTTGCTTCTGCCTTTGAGAGTCAGGAAGTTTTTGCTTCTTAATTTTTACCCTGAATTAATGATCAGGAAGACAGACATTTGCTATAAAAACAGGACTTTTCTGACCAATAAGAAGCTTTCATTCAAAATAAAAACACAGCTCGACATCAGTCTGCAACAGTTAGCTCTCAATTAATCTGGAGTCATGCAGAAAAAAACGACTTTACTCAAAATGCATTGTGCCATCTGTGGGGAACATCAGCTGTTAACATAATATGATGATTTGGGCTTCTTGACTAGCCATTTAGCATATAGCTCATCCTCTGGCAATTCAGCTCCATTTAAAAGTCTGTTTCAAACTATAAAGACCTGAGTTCACGCTCCAGGTCTTCATCCCAACCCAGAACAACGCAGGTCAATAGGTCACCTGTGAACTCTATGCAGCATACAGCTCCTCCAGTGGCTTAATCGGGCTCTTCTCTGCTCTTTTCCAGGTGACGGAGGTGAGTTTCATCTTCTTTTTTTCCTTCACAAATGCCTTTTTCTCTCCGGACGTACAAATCATCATGCCGGCCTCGATCGTCTCTTCCAGAGTTTGTCGAAGTCATCCTTTTACCGCTCGATGAGTTCCAGTGCAAAATCGACAGTAGGTTTTCGAAAAAAAATGACTTTGGCCATGTCATAAAACACGTTCAAGTTCATGTCACCGAATTAGCAAAGAGCTGAGAAAGTTTTATGTGAAATCTGCTAAATTGTTTTAGCCCTCAAAAGCTTGATAAAAATAAGTTTTGAGTTTTTCAGTGAAACTGATCTAATATACATATTGGTTGAGCTGCTGCTGTTGATGTGACTCACCCTGATTTCTTGCCCAGACCTGATCCGGAAGGAGAAGATCATTGTGGACTCCAAGGTTTACATCTTTGCCATGGGAATGACTCAGGCCTTCTTCAAGCCCAAGGAGCTGCCCATCCTAAAGCAGTGATGGAACCAGGAAGAGCTCGTCTTTACTGTGACACGTGCCTGGGAATTTGAGGATCCATCTCTTTTTGATCGAGGAATTTTTGGAAAACGTCTGGATTTGTGCTTTTTAATCGAAATCAGTCTTGTATTCCAATATCGGTCTCGTTAGTCGTTTCGACAAAGCTGTAAAGAAATAATGGAAGAGAGCAGGGTCTAACTACATTAACCTTTGCTCGCAATGTCTTTCATTCTCAACACGAGATTTGTGTAATGTCTGACATTCCTCGAGAGATGATTAGGAACATTTAACCGCATCAAACCTTTTTCATGTAGTTCTCAGAAAACATTCCTTAATAATTGCTAACAATGTTTTCAAAGAATCTTGGCACATTTGTTGCTAAATTAGTTGTTATGGTGAATGTAAATATACCTGATGATGCATTAACAATGTGGGAGGGTGTTTTACTCTGCAGTGTACGGTTATGGTAATGCCAACCCAGTCAGCTGATTGGGTCATTCTGTACCCAAGTTTGTCATCAACATCCTACTGACCATGGAATAAAAAGTGATTCTACCTGCGTTGTGACTGGAATGTGTGCTTTTTACATCACGTTTTTCCATAACGGACTGACTGCTGATAGGTTAGAGGCTCAGTTAGAGAAATTAAGATTAGCCCTGGGCAGAGAACACATGGTGGGAGAAACAGAAATGTAGGAAAGCAGAAATGAATCATTACTAACAAAATATTTGACACCTTTCCCCTTTCTGCCCTCTTACTACTTTCCAACGTTTAAAGTTGGTGCTGAAATCCCAGCTGGAAAGGACATCAAAGCTCATGTTATCTGGTTAACGTGCAATTATGTTCAAGTTTGTTGTAATTAATAGATGAAGTTCATGCCACCTTGCATTTTTTTTCTAAAAAGAAAAATTGTGAAAATGAAAATGTGAAATACTCAGCCATGCTATAAAAATGGTGCCACACTATAAAAATTCAACAATGCACAACTGGATTTTTGTCTCTTAAAATCTTAAAAGGCTTGAAATCCACTGGTTCCTATAGGAACTAGTGGTTATAATGTGACAAAATATCAAGGACCAAGTTTGTTTATGTAGCAACTCCTGTTGCTCAAAGTGCCTTATGGACCAAATTCAACTAACATCAAAGACAAACAACATGCAGTAAAAATGTACAGTGTGACCAATGGTGTTCGAACTCAGACTCTGGATGGGACACCATCCGTTTTGCAGCGGGCCCAACAGTTCTTCCTGAAGCATAAATTAACAGAATAAAATAAAAGGCTTGACTTTTGTGGACTGAAAAACAACGAAGTAACATGAAACTGGCCCCTGCAACAGGAAGTCAGTGTAGAGAGGCCAGCAGTCTGAGTATGTGCTCCTCTCTTCTTGCACCACTGCGTGTGTGTGTGTTCACCACTGCAGATTTTTGTAACTTTGTCTTTTAAGGATACTTTGTTAGTTTTCATTGATTTTGTTGATGGCCTATAGAATTCTGGAATTGGTTCATTTCTTTGGAGTTGCGCAACAAATCAAACAACAACAAAATAATTCACTGTTTATTGAGACAGTACATAAGTCAATTAAGTTGAATTGACTTTAATTGACGTAATGTCAATTAAACTTAGATATAACTTGAAAGTGCACTTTGATCTGTAACTTGAAATTCATTTGAACGATTCCTGAGTAATACTTTATGGAATATAGCTTTTTTTAAATGAATGTTTAGTTGTTTTGGATAGCAGTTTAACCCTTTTTAAATGCTAATTTTTGTTTTTATTTATTACTTTATTTAGGTCAGGTTTTTTTGTCCCACGCCCCGGTTCAACCCAGTATGTCTACCGGATCACCGCAGCTTTGCTGCAGGACTTAATTGAACCAAATTACTTTATTTTTCCGGACCTATTGCCTTGGATCATGGACTAAAAACAGTTGGAGTATCAGAGTTGATTTATTTTTTTATTTCTTTATTTTTGTTATTGTTTTCTTCCTGTTGTGTTTATTATTTATACATATAGAAAAATATTAATATTACCATTATTATTATTAAATACCTCTCTAAATATATGCAAAAATATAAGTTTGAATACAATAACTTTTTACCTGCATTTCTCTCCTCCCTCCATTGTTTAGGTTTCTGTCGCTGCTGACAACTGTTGCATAGAAACGGCGGTCACTCCCCGAGACGCGTAGAGGAAATAAAATGACATTACAAAAGAAAATAATAATGCATAGTGATTTGGATAAATAACTTTAATCTGATTACTGGATTTGAAATAATAACACATTAGATTATTCATTACTGAAAGAAGTGGCCTGTTAAAGTACGAAGGTAGCACAGATCTTCAGAACACTTGATTTGTAGGCCTATTATGTCATAGCGCTGCGTGTATTCTTGTGCTGATGCATCAGAGGTTGTGACGTCACTACTGCTTTGTCGTGTAACTCGGGGTGCACATATAAGTCCTGTTGGTAAAATTCTCCCACATTAAAAGACAGTTTCAGAGGTTTCAGAGTTTAACTGAACAAAATGTCTGAGGATTTACTGAGAAGAGATCTGCAGTTTTTAGTCAGTGACTATGCGATCCCTGCGACCCAGAAATTCATTTATCAAACTCCAGAGGCACATTGGAAGGATTTTGAATTAGTACTTCTGGTGATGATGATCCAAAAAAGGACCAAAAACCTGTTGCGCTACCTAGCAGAGATTTCTTTCTCAATGTGTTTAAAAGACAGTTTCAGAAGTTTCAGAGTTTAATTGGACAAAATGTATGAGGATTTACTGAGAAGACATTTGCAGTTTCCTCTCTGTCCCTCCGTCGATCCCGGCATCGAGACGACCTTTTCGGTCCCGGCATCAAGACGACCTTTTTGGTCCCGTCATCGAGATGCCTCTGTCGGTCCTGGTATCGAGACGCCTCTGTCTGTCCCATCATTGAGACACTTCTGTTGGTACCGACATCAAGACGCCTCTGTTGGTTCTGGCATCGAAACGCCTCTGTCGGTTCCGGCATCGAGACGACCTTTTCGGTCCCGTCATCAAGATGCCTCTGTCGGTCCCGGTATCGAGACGCCTCTGTCTGTCCCGTCATCGAGACGCCACTGTCGGTCCCATCATTGAGATGCTTCTGTTGGCACTGGCATTGAGACGCCTCTGTCAGTTCCGGCATCAAGACGACTCCGTCAGTACCGGCATCGAGACGACCTTTTTGGTCCCGTCATCGAGATGCCACTGTTGGTCCCATCATTGAGACGCCTCTGTTGGTACCGGCATCGAGACGCCTCTGTCTGTCTCGTCATCGAGACGCCACTGTCGGTCGCATCATTGAGACGCCTCTGTTGGTACCGGCATCGAGACGCCTCTGTCTGTCCCGTCATCGAGACGCCACTGTCGGTCGCATCATTGAGACGCCTCTGTTGGTACCGGCATCGGGACAACGTTTTCGGTCCCGTCATCGAGATGCCTCTGTCGTTTGCGACATCGAGACGCCTCTGTCGGTTCCGGCATCGAGACGCCTCTGTCGGTCCCATCATTGAGACGCTTCTGTTGGCACTGGCATTGAGACGCCTCTGTCAGTTCCGGCATCAAGACGACTCCGTCAGTACCGGCATCGAGACGACCTTTTTGGTCCCGTCATCGAGATGCCACTGTCGGTCCCATCATTGAGACGCCTCTGTTGGTACCGGCATCGAGACGCCTCTGTCTGTCCCGTCATCGAGACGCCACTGTCGGTCGCATCATTGAGACGCCTCTGTTGGTACCGGCATCGAGACGCCTCTGTCTGTCCCGTCATCGAGACGCCACTGTCGGTCGCATCATTGAGACGCCTCTGTTGGTACCGGCATCGGGACGACCTTTTCGGTCCCGTCATCGAGATGCCTGTCGTTCGCGACATCGAGACGCCTCTGTCGGTTCCGGCATCGATACGCCTCTGTCAGTCCCGTCATTGAGACGCCACTGTCGGTCCCATCATTGAGACGCCTCTGTTGGTACCGGCATCGAGACGCCTCTGTCTGTCCCGTCATCGAGACGCCACTGTCGGTCCCATCATTGAGACGCCTCTGTTGATTCCGGCATCAAGACGACCTTTTCGGTCCCGTCATCGAGATGCCTCTGTCGTTCTCGGCATCGAGACGCCTCTGTCTGTTCCGGCATCGAGACGCCTCTGTCGGTTCCGGCATCGAGACGCCTCTGTCGGTTCCGGCATCGAGACGCCTCTGTCTGTCCCTTCATCGAGACGCCACTGTCGGTCCCATCATTGAGACGCCTCTGTTGGTACCGGCATGGAGACGCCTCTGTCGGTCCCGTAATCGAGACGCCACTGTCGGTCCCATCATTGAGACGCCTCTATTGATTCCGGCATCAAGACGACCTTTTCGGTCCCGTCATCGAGATGCCTCTGTCGTTCCCGGCATCGCGACGCCTCTGTCTGTTCCGGCATCGAGACGCCTCTGTCGGTCCCGGCATCGAGACGCCTCTGTCTGTCCCGTCATCGAGACGCCACTGTCGGTCCCATCATTGAGACGCCTCTGTTGATTCCGGCATCGAGACGACCTTTTCGGTCCCGTCATCGAGATGCCACTGTCGGTCCCATCATTGAGACGCCTCTGTTGGTACCGGCATCGAGACGCCTCTGTCGGTCCCGTCATCAAGACGCCACTGTCGGTCCGATCATTGAGACGCCTCTGTTGGTACCGGCATCGAGACGCCTCTGTCTGTCCCGTCATCGAGACGCCACTGTCGGTCCCATCATTGAGACGCCTCTGTTGATTCCGGCATCGAGACGACCTTTTCGGTCCCGTCATCGAGACGCCTCTGTCTGTCCCGTCATCGAGACGCCACTGTCGGTCCCATCATTGAGACGCCTCTGTTGATTCCGGCATCGAGACGACCTTTTCGGTCCCGTCATTGAGATGCCTCTGTCGGTCCTGTCATTGAAACAACTTTTTTCAGTCCCTTCATCAAGACGACCTTTTTGGTTCCGTCATCGAGACGACCTTTTCAGTGCCGTGATTGACACACCTCTGTTGGTCCCGTCATCAAGACGCCACTGTCGGTCCCATCATTGAGACGCCTCTGTTGATTCCGGCATCGAGACGACCTTTTCGGTCCCGTCATCGAGATGCCACTGTCGGTCCCATCATTGAGACGCCTCTGTTGGTACCGGCATCGAGACGCCTCTGTCTGTCCCGTCATCGAGACGCCACTGTCGGTCCCATCATTGAGACGCCTCTGTTGGTACCGGCATCGGGACGACCTTTTCGGTCCCGTCATCGAGATGCCTCTGTGGTTCGCGGCATCGAGACGCCTCTTTCGGTTCCGGCATCGAGACGCCTCTGTCGGTCCCATCTTCGAGACGCCACTGTCGGTCCCATCATTGAGACGCCTCTGTTGGTACCGGCATCGGGACGCCTCTGTCTGTCCCGTCAACGAGACGCCACTGTCGGTTCTGGCATCGAGACGCCTCTGTCTGTTCCGTCATCGAGACGCCACTGTCGGTCCCATCATTGAGACGCCTCTGTCTGTTCCCGGCATCGAGATGCCTCTGTCGGTTCCGGCATCG